ATTTGACATTTAAGAAGATGACTGTCTTTCTTACTGATGTGGTTTATTTATTTATTCTCGCCAGAATTCTTTAACAGTGAATCAGATAGACATGCACCATCTGTTGTGTTCCCATACACTAATTAATAATGTTGTACAAATACAGAAGTGTAAATAAGAAAATAACCACATATTTTTAGAATTACATAACAGCCCATTTTTGCTGGCCAGGGTTCAGAGAGCTTCCACGTTTTTTTTTTTGTTTTAGCAATATCCGAGAACTTGTCTGTAAGTTTGGTGCTTTTGTGTGTTGAGACTGGTTCTTAAGGAAAGTTTGACATAGCCAAACTTGGCTGGCTCAACAAATCCTAAAACGGCACTCAGATAACCACCATCTGTGAGAGCGCTATCTGTTAACTCTCCAGCTCTGTGCACGCTCACATACAACATGAATCAACCAGATGCCGTCGACTTCAATCAGCGCTCCGCTTTCTAGCATAAGAAAGGCATTAGCCTGCATACATTGAAACTTTCAAAGCTTCACATTGTTGTCACACAGGTCTGATACTGTCTCACATCCTGCTCAATAAGACGTGAAGATAACTAACTTTTTGTCACCTAATCAGTGCTTAAAATCTTATCTTCTATAGCTGCAATTCCAGGAATGAAGACTTGAAGACTTAGCATCAGATTAAGGTCAAGCATGAATATGCATTTATACACAATCACCAACTGAAGACATGTAAATTCATTGGGCAGAGCGACACAGTTTGCACTGCTGTAACATAATAGCTGAGCTGATATGAGTTAGCTTCCCCTCAGCAGGTTTCTGCAAAAGTCCTTTATATTTAGTTTCTTTAGCAATTCCTTTCCTGACACCTTTCAACGTTTTTCTTTGGGCACTGGCTGCCTTTTCGCTCATTTACAGTCCCGTCCTTGTACGTTACCGTTTTCAGTGAACTTTTTGTTTTGTTTGTTTGTTAGTTAAGCCACTTAACTCATAAAAAAGGTTTCTAACTCAAGTGATGAACTGACAACAAACAGCTAGCAGCCTGTCACAGCCTGTTTCTTTAGTTGTCTATGAAAAATTCCAAAGGTAACAAAATCTCACAGCACAAAATAGTTTTTTTCCTCACCAACACCTGGCATATTTCAATATGGTGTGCAGTTTGGCCTCAAAAGACAAAATAGGAAACTGCACAGGTGGCAGGCCTAAAGTGGCAGTGGTATTGGAGATCTGATTAAAATCAATGAATCTCTTTGTACTCCCAAAGGTTGATTCTGTTCATCTGGATGTAGCGTTTTCAGTGGGAGAAGCATCTCATTTGAATAATTTGTTGGATGAAGTTGAAGTTGAACACCTTCAACTTCATTGTTTGAAAATTTGGAGGTCTTTGCAATATTATTCCACGAAGGAGAGATAAGTTGAAGGAACTAGATAGGATTTATTGAAATGGATTGATATGTTTAACCTGTAATGTGAGATAGCGTCAGAGAAAAATGCCTGATTTTACCTACACTCAGCTCCAGGATACCTTTTTAGCTCAGAAATGCGATGGAGATGGAAATACAGACTTCCACACCGGTGCTTAGTAAGAACAATACAGTGGAAAGTCTTGCTGCGATGACACTGTCACCATCTGTGTCCAAATCTCAAGGCAAGAATAACAAAGAAGCCCGGAACCACATTGTGGGGCTTTTCAACAACTGTCATCAAAAGAGAAATCAAAGCAAAACCAAAACTGTGCAAGTTTGGGTCCGTAGCAAAACCACAAAGCTGCAAGTATGTGCAAGTGAGCAATCCAAAAACAGCAGCACAAAGGAGGTGCTCAAAGAGGCGACCTCGAAGGATCTGTTTAGGTTTCTGCTCTCGCGGGTGGAGTCATTCGGCTCTTTCATTGCACCTCGTATGGTGAAGGTGGAGGTCATTTCTTTCTCGTAGTTACACTGAATGAATGATAGAATATTTAAATTACACATTAAACTGATCAGAATGTATTCTGTTTATCCCTCTTTACATTTGGATATCTCATTATGATTATGACTACATCTCAGTTCACTGACATACAGACCTGCTTGCTTTGCATTTAAAGCACTTTGCGTTACTTTTTATATATTTGGTGTATATTGAGCCCCCTCCTTATGTCCTCCAAATATTTCAACGAATGCAACCTCAGCAGTGAAACAGCATGATTATGGTTCATGAGATGATTGTTTCTGCTCATCGTTCTGGATTCCAGAGACAACAATTCAACCTAATTACACGCAAACACACAACACAGCGAGTCTTTCTGCTGCTGATCCGACATGAACGAGACGGATGGAAACTCATCGCCACCACACGCTAATGACATCAGCACCACGCGCTTAACTTGTCATGAGATTTTACCCACAATGCCATGTGAACAATGAGCGTGTCACTGGATTCAATGACTGAAGCTGTCAGATGCCGGGCAGGATGTTTGACTTATAACCTGCATGGGAACAGAAACAGACAGAAAGCGATCCGGCGTGTTTATATTCTTCAGAGGGTCTGCAGGTGTTTGAGCGGCAGCACTCACATTTTCATTTGATGGTTTTTCAGCTTCGCTTCACATGTTTTCAATCAGCCGAGATGGCCAAGAATGCAGACCGCAGAGTCAACCGTAGCCTTCAAAATAAATGGATCTATGGGAGAAAGCTGTATTTTCAAAATAAAAGTCCTTAAACGGTGGGAAGTCAGCCGTGCTGGAAAAAAACGAGACGCTTCACAGGTTACTCAGTGTGCAGGTTTAAAGATAGTTTGTTTTAGAATAGTCTGCTACCGTGCTGCACCACAACCATCAAGAAACATCTGCACATGCTCAGTGCTGACCTCGCTCGACCTTAAACAGATGTTTGTGGTTAAGCCTCTATGCTGCAGCTGACCAAGTGAAAAAAAACTTTAAAAAAAGGTTCCTTCAGAAACATAAAAAGTAATCCACCCTCAGCGGTGCAATGAGAACATTAACATCAAAGTATAGTCGAATAAGGCAACGTAATACATCGAAAACTCCTCTGTAGCTCAAACAGTAAGAGGTCACAGGGTATATTTGAAGTATGAATGAAGTTACCACAGGAAAGTGATTGGAAAGTTTTCCTTTTATGGTTCATTATGTTTGCACTTTTTAAATGTTGTCCGTTTACATACGCCATCAGTGTGAAGTTAACAGTTTTTCAAGGTTTTTCTCTTTCACCCATTTGCTCCCATAGTCATGGTGGCGGAGCTGCCATGCATGTGGTTGGGCTAGATTGGGTTTAAACTGCCAACCCTGTGATTAGTGGGCAACCCACTCTGCCCCCTGAAACATGTCTCAGTTTTAAAGACACA